AATTTATTTGATTTAAGAACATATAAAAAATGTCAATCAAATCTATTCACCAATAAATTCGATTCCATAACGCATCGTAAGTGCGTTACAACTGTGTCCTAATCGGCTGTGTTCGTCTTCACATGCAATCTTCCATGCATCTTTTACATCATATATATCATTTTTGAAAAATAAATAAAAGTGTAACCCTTCTTTTATTTTGTCGTTATATATATATTATTTACATTTACGCATGTACTTCATTAATTTATGATTATTCTCACATTCAAAAAACAATAAAAACAAGGATTTTTTACACGAATTTTTAATTTGACAAAAACCTACACTATATTATCAAATATCCCAAATCTATACATGAATTACCCAATTTTACTGCAATTTACTACACAATCCGAAACGATATTAAAATGTCCGTTAATTGATGACGTGGAAGGCCACGTGGCGACTGACGTGGAAGGTCATATGAAAAATTTGGCCACGTCAGATTTTCAAAAAAAAATTAAAAAATTAAAAAACATAAAAAAGTAAAAAAATACATATATACATATACATACATACAAATATATTTATATATACACAAATACATATATATAAATACATATACATATATACATGTATATATATATATATAAACATATACAATGCATATATATATATATGTATGCATATAAAATAAAAAAAATAGATATATACATACATCTATATATATATGCATATATATTCATATCTATATACAAATACAAATATAAATACATATATTTTTATGTATAAATATATCTATATATACATACAAAATAACAAATATACACATATATATACATATATCTATACAAATATATATACATACATATATTTGTGTATATATAAATATATTTGTATGTACATATATGTATATATATGTATTTTTTATTTTTTTATGTATATATAAATATATACTTGTATATCAAATTAAAAATATATGTATATATAAATATATTTGTATGTATGTATATATATATTTGTATAGATGCATGTATATATATATGTGTATATTTTTTATTTTGTATGTATATATAGATATATTAATACATATGAGTATATTTGTTTATATTTGTATTTGTATATAGATATGAATATATATGCATATACACGTATAGATATATGTATGTACATGTATTTTTTTATATTTTATATGTATACATATATATATATGTATGTATGCATATATATGTATATATACAATATATATATATATGTATTGTATATGTTTATATATATACATGTATATATGTATATGTATTTATATATGTTTGTATGTATATATATGTATTTTTTATTTTTTTATTTTTATTTTATTTTCGATTTTAATTTTTTTTTATTTTTTTTTAATTTTTTAATTTTTTAATTTTTTTAATTTTTTTTAATTTTTTTAATTTTTTTAATTTTTTTAATTTTTTTATTTTTTTTAATTTTTTTAATTTTTTTAATTTTTTTAATTTTTTTAATTTTTTTAATTTTTTTAATTTTTTAATTTTTTTTTGAAAATCTGACGACGTGCTGACGTGACAAAATTTTCCAATGGCCTTCCACGCCAACCGCCACGTGGCCTTCTACGTCATCAATTAACGGACATTTTAACATCGTTTCGGATTGAGTAGTAACTTGCAGTAATATTGGGTAATTTGTGTATAGATTTGGGACATCTGATAATATAGTGTAGGTTTTTGTCAAATTAAAAATTCGTGTAAGAAAATGTCACATTTTACTAAATTGGTGTAGAAAAATGTCATTTTCCCAAAAAAAAAACTTTAGGCTTCGCTTCGATATATAATGTCTATTATATATCACGTCTTATAACATTATGTAATATATATATACCGAAATTTTCGAACAATAATTTTATTGGACCATCTTGTCTTATTTTCTTTTATAACAAGGAGATTTACTATCTTCAAATAATACAGTAAAATCCTCAAATTATCATTTCCAAATATAACAATACCGTCTTTTTAAAACAAATGATGAAAATGATCTAAGTTTGGATGACATGGTGGTAAGAGAACATGCAAAATATATTTAGTTTTGTACTTTTATCCTGAGTTTAAATCTAAGCGTAGAGAACAATATTCATCTGGATTTTCTCGATTTTTTAGGAAATGTAATTGGGGTAAAAGTTCGATAAACTTCTTGATTGTAAAAAAATAAAAATGATTAAGATTACAAAATTATTGTTTTTCTTCGTACCCTCTTATAATAGAGATTTTTTTAATCATAAATGGACCGTTTCTATCCACTTGAACTATAATCCATTGAGATACATTTCATTAATAACTATAACATAACAATTAGGGATTTTATTATTATATTCAGATTCAGGAACTAATTCGATTCCCCGAATTTTCTAGAAATATTTGGTGATTGTTGATTATACTCAAAATCTAAGCTAGAAAGCGTGCGATACGGAATCTTTTGAGTTAGATATGAAGTAAGCACGTCTTAATCATATCAGTTAATCAAGTTGGTACAATTAAGTGCGTTGCTAATTAAGCCTTAATCCCACCTAATTACCATCAATTAACATCGATTTGCACGCCTGCAATCAAAGATACTAGATAATTATAAAAAAAATTCTACTACTGTAATTATTATTATTTTTACGTGGTTATTGCACCGACTATATTTTTAAATCTGTATCTAGAAACATCTTATGCTCAATTAAAAAAATGAAACCTGTAAAACTAATCTACTAGATCACAAAGAATATGCATCTGTGATGTCTAAAAATAATGTTATATTTATTATAAAGCATTATGTTTATAGCTCCAAAACTCCCTTTAGTGTCTCACATCATCCAAGTTCAGCATATTTTTTTAACTAAATATTCTTATAATTTAATTAAATAAATTATCCATATACAAAAATGTTATAGCAATAGTTTGTTTATATATATAAAAAAAAGGGTAAAACCCCTAAAAAAACCTCTAACTTGCAAAAATATATACAAATAAACATTCAACTTGAAAAACTGTCATTCAATCCCCGAATTTGTGTAGGCAGCGTGTTGTGTGTTTGTTGTCTAATGATGGGACATTGGGTTTATGTTTAGAGATAACGATGATATCTTGTCGTGAATGTGGTTATATTATATATAATAATACAACACATATCATAGCGATGTTTAGCGATTCGATGATGAAACTCGACGTTAGGTGGGGTTCTCTCTTACACACACACACATATATATATATATATATATATATGAACAATTCTCAAACTATTTGAAGCGTCCAAACATAATATTTTTTTATATGACAAAATTTAAAATTTCGCAATCCAATGGTGTGTTTTACATTGACTAATTAGTATAAGAACCTTTTTAAATTTTTTGAAAATGGAACATTTTATAAGATTTAATCGAAGTCTTTTAACTTGGCCTTTTGGAGCTCATGGATCACGGTGTTTATAAGTAAATATTATCTCTTTCGCTGTTATTTATTATATATAAAATATATAAAAAAACTCAATATATATATATATATATTAAATAATCGAAGGGGATAACATGTTGTAAGCCACTTGTACATATCATGCGTTTCCGTAACTGTTCATATGATTACATGCATGATTTTCGTTTATTTTGATTAAATTATCGTAAGTATATATAAAGATTTCGGATTATCAAAAAAAAAAAAAAGATTTCGAAAGGTATTCAACACGGAACAAACTTTATCGTCCAACATGCAAAATGCTGTGGTTTGCCGTCGAATATATGTTTTATTCACTGCATTTTTTTTGTAATAATTTCATAACAAATACCTTTCGAAATCTAACCGTAGAGAACAATATTCATCTGGATTTTCTCGATTTTTTAGGAAATGTAATTGGGGTAAAAGTTCGATAAACTTCTTGATTGTAAAAAAATAAAAATGATTAAGATTACAAAATTATTGTTTTTCTTCGTACCCTCTTATAATAGAGATTTTTTTAATCATAAATGGACCGTTTCTATCCACTTGAACTATAATCCATTGAGATACATTTCATTAATAACTATAACATAACAATTAGGGATTTTATTATTATATTCAGATTCAGGAACTAATTCGATTCCCCGAATTTTCTAGAAATATTTGGTGATTGTTGATTATACTCAAAATCTAAGCTAGAAAGCGTGCGATACGGAATCTTTTGAGTTAGATATGAAGTAAGCACGTCTTAATCATATCAGTTAATCAAGTTGGTACAATTAAGTGCGTTGCTAATTAAGCCTTAATCCCACCTAATTACCATCAATTAACATCGATTTGCACGCCTGCAATCAAAGATACTAGATAATTATAAAAAAAATTCTACTACTGTAATTATTATTATTTTTACGTGGTTATTGCACCGACTATATTTTTAAATCTGTATCTAGAAACATCTTATGCTCAATTAAAAAAATGAAACCTGTAAAACTAATCTACTAGATCACAAAGAATATGCATCTGTGATGTCTAAAAATAATGTTATATTTATTATAAAGCATTATGTTTATAGCTCCAAAACTCCCTTTAGTGTCTCACATCATCCAAGTTCAGCATATTTTTTTAACTAAATATTCTTATAATTTAATTAAATAAATTATCCATATACAAAAATGTTATAGCAATAGTTTGTTTATATATATAAAAAAAAGGGTAAAACCCCTAAAAAAACCTCTAACTTGCAAAAATATATACAAATAAACATTCAACTTGAAAAACTGTCATTCAATCCCCGAACTTGTAACTTGTCACTGAATAAAACCTCGAACTTGCAAATTATTGCTCTAATAAACGTTTGACCGGTTTGACCACAATTTCAAACGATCGGAAATCCACGTATTGACGGATTACTGATGTCAATTTTTAAATTAAAATTGATAACGTGTATAAAGTGACATCAGCAATCCGTTAATACGTGGATTTCCGATCGTCTGAAATTGTGGTCAAACCGGTCAAAGGTTTATTAGAAAAATAATTTACAAGTTTGAAGTTTTATTCAGTGACAAGTTACAAGTTCGGGGATTGAATGACAATATTTCAAGTTGAAAGTTTATTTGTATATATTTTTACAAGTTGGAAGTTTTTTAAAGGTTTTACCCTAAAAAAAAACAAATAAAGGGCCGCAATGGTTGCTGAGAAACCCTAATGGAGTAGGGTTTACTCAACACGAACCTTGCATGACAAACAATGTGGTTTCTTCTAGCTCAAGCTATCTTAAGACAATGAACTGAACATGAATTACTTCTGATTCTTCTTGTTCTCTCTTGGCTTTGATTTTCCAGCTGTTTGTCTTCATCATCTTAATCATCTTCTTGTCACCACTATCATGATCTTCATCGTCATCATCATCATCATCATCATATCATCATCCGTGTCTCCTGTATCGATATCATCATCATCAGCAGCAGCACTAGGAAATAGCTTAAAGTTCATCTAAATCACAGCCGTCTTCTTCAGCTTCAACAGCATCAGAAGCAGCATCCAACATAATCTCCTCCATCTCGTCATCACTGCCTTGAATTGAACACCAACATCACCCTCGTTGTCCTGCCTTTGTAGAGTCCCCCTCTGTGATTTAACCTGCAAAGTTTGCAAGGTTAGTGAGCAGAGTTTAGTATCGAACATGCTGGTTTCAAATCCATGGGCAGAGAACTGAGGGAACAAAAAATGGAAAGAGCGCATAGTGTGTGGTAAGATGTCCACCTTCAAAGAATCAAAGCCATGCCTTTTAGTCGTGGGAGCATATCTCTAGACGCTTCCTCAAGAGCCATAAACAAGTACAATACCCGGAAGGAAGACATAAACCCCGGCAAAAGTTGAATATTCAATATATGATATTGCATGTCCTCCTCCCAACCAAAAGTTCTTCTCTCTCGCAGCAAACAGATAAAACGCTTATTCTCTATTCAGTGAGCCCAAGAAGTATGACCATTCAAATCAAGAAGCTTAACAATGTGAAAAGAAACAACCTCTCTTTCAAAAGTCCCAACAGTACCAAAATGACAAAAGTGGATAATCATCCTTCGTCTCTGGTAATAACCTGAAGAACAGGGCTGGAAGCCAAGGCTCCTGAGATTAACAACTCCAATAACGTCAGCAGAGTACAGAAGGCAGACAAGACATAACACATTAAGAGGAAATGCTTAGATGATAAAATACCACCATTCAAAGAAGGTATCAAACCTAAAGCCAATCCAATCCTCCCAGAGTTTATAACTAAAGCACTAATCACAGACAAGATTCGCAGATGAACCTCTTAGCCAAAGCCGCTGTGCTCGACCCCTCAAACTCCAAACATTAGAAAAACCTTCAGTGAAGATTAAAAAGATCCATAGAATACTAAAGGTCGGATTTTTTTTCTTGAATCAGAAACTTACCCAGAAGTTGTAAATGTGATCCTCTTCGACCATGATCTCAAAGGCAACGACTTTACAAGCCATAAGGGGATTAACCATCTTCATGTCTACGCCTTTCCCTTTCGTGGAATTGAAATCCTCTGCCACCTCAATCTCTCTTCTCCTCCACCATTCTCGTCGTCTACCGACAAAATTTCAAGTTTTGGCTTCCGTTTTCCTCATCGGGGTATCTCCTTTTGCGTTCCCAGGTCGCAGATTCTTGAACCTTTCGTTCGGAATCCTCGGCTTTGGTCTCTTCGCGTCTCCTTATTTACGCCCATTCTGTTATTTCTGATTGGAATCGTCGTTCTTAGGCTTTTTTCTGAATCTGGGATTGGATTTTGACGATTTTCCCGAAAACAATCGTTGTCTCCCGAACGGAGAGACGACGAGATCAGACGGAGAGACGAAGCGAATGATTCGACGTTGGTTGCTGAGAGAGAGGGAGAGAATGGCACAAAACGCAGCGTATTTGGAGGAAAGGCTATTTCAGGAATATAAAAATCAAGGTAAGGGTAAAAGCGTCATAACACATACGCTAGGGTTTTTACGCTTTCAGAAGCTCACCCTTTATATCGCTTACTTATGCGTCGTCCCTGGCCTTACCAGCCCCAATCGCCCGACTCGTTGTTTCTGAAGCATAAGCTCCATCTCCGCGTATCTTATAGTGTTTCGGAGGAAGAAGAATTGAAAGAGAGGAACAATGGCGGCGAATGGAGCTCCGGCGGCTAGACAGCTTTCTCAGAAAGAGGCCGACATCCAGATGATGTTGTCGGCTGAGGTCCACCTCGGTACGAAGAATTGCGACTTTCAGATGGAGCGTTACGTCTTCAAGAGACGCAACGACGGTACCAACACTCTCTCCTTCTACCTTTTTTTTATGAGCTCTTGCATACGCGAATGAATGTCTATCTTTGTCCATGGAAGGGGGATTGCGTGTCAATCTTGTGGATTTGTGTCGGAATGAAGCTTTAGGTTTTCATTGATTGTCTTTGATCTGCTGTGTTTGGCAACGAAATCTGACATTTCAGTCAAAATGGTCTTTTTTTGTAGATTATGTTTTTTTTTTCTGCACGTTGCGTCTGCCCATCTGTATCCGAAACTACCAACTTACCCTGTTCGTGTGATAACGATGTTGCTTGCTTGTGTATGTTGGATGAAATTTGAGTTTCTGTGATCCGTTTTTTCGTTTTTGCATCTGTCCATGAATTCGTGGGAAAGGATTCAAAGTCCTACGGTTGTCCTCTTCCCTTAAAATTCTCTTTCTGCAATATTCTTTTCTCAAAGTGTCTTAATTCAGCGTGCTCCATATGATTATTTTTAAAGAAATTGAAATCTAGTGTAGTCGGATTCAATTTGTTGTTAATTCCTTAATGTTACGGCTTTAGTTTGTCATTCTTGTTGCCGTACGTGGGAACAATTGTTCTTCGTGAACTACTGCTATTGCTTATGGACATCTCTTGCATATTAGGTATCTACATCATCAACCTCGGGAAAACCTGGGAGAAACTCCAGCTTGCTGCTAGGGTTATTGTTGGCATTGAGAACCCACAAGACATCATTGTTCAGTCTGCAAGACCCTATGGACAGAGGGCTGTCCTCAAGTTTGCCCAGTTCACCGGTGCTAATGCAATTGCTGGAAGGCACACTCCTGGTACCTTCACTAACCAGATGCAGACATCCTTCAGTGAGCCGAGGCTGTTGATTCTTACTGACCCAAGAACTGATCACCAGGTAGATTCTTCCTTTAATGCGTATCAAAGTTTTACTTAATGATCACCGATTGTTTTCCTTGCTTTATGGACAATGTTTGCTAATGTTCTTATGTCTCTTGCAGCCTATCAAGGAAGCTGCGCTCGGTAACATACCGACTATCGCTTTCTGTGACACCGATTCTCCAATGAGATATGTTGACATTGGTATCCCTGCCAACAACAAGGGAAAGCATAGCATTGGTTGCCTCTTCTGGCTTTTGGCCCGTATGGTCCTTCAGATGCGTGGAACCATTCGTCCAGGCCAAAAATGGGATGTCATGGTATCCACAGTTCCATATTCTCAACCCTGATGCTTTACAAGCTTTACTTCGTCAAGGATTAAAAGGGTTTATTTAGGGGAAATCTAGCCACTGTATTTGACCAAATTGTTTATGGAACGGTTTTTTTATTCATATGCTGTAAAGTTTATTGATCGTGAACCTGTGTTCAATTTTTTGTGCAGGTTGACCTGTTCTTCTACAGGGAGCCCGAGGAGGCCAAACAACAGGAGGAGGATGAAGCTGCTCCTCAGGCCGACTTTGGATTGCCTGCCCCTGATTTCGGAGTGGGTGCTATTGGAGATCAGTGGACCACTGCTCAGATCCCTGATGCTGCATGGCCTGCTGAAGCCCAGCAACCAATCCCTGCTGTGCCTGCCGTTGCTTCCTGGAGTGAAGCCGGTGGTAAGTTTCTTTAACTTACATCTTTGACTTACTTGGTCTGAAATTGTCTAGCCATTGTCTCTGCCAAATCTGATCCCTCCCACTGTGTCTGTTTTTGCAGTTCCAGTCGCCGGAGAAGGATGGGATGTCGCCGCACCGCCCCCAGCTGCTCCAGCATCTACTTGGGACTAAGTTTAGCCCCTGAAATCGGTTTTTGATGAAATATGTTACCAGTGATACACTTGTTTTTTTTGGATGCTTGAGATGGGAGAGTGGTCGGACCATTATGTTCTTTCTTTTTTCCTTTTTTGTTTCCTCTCGTAAAAACTTTCAATTGTAGGTTGTTGCACTTTTGATAAAGTCTCTCTTACCTTGGTTTTATCATATTCTGTCATTTCCACTGTTTCTTGGACCAGAACCTTGTAAGATTCTCATTTCGGCATTCGTCTGGTTACCATCTTCTTCATGATTGTCATTATTGCAGCAGTGATATGAAATTAAAAAGGGGATTCAATACAGAAATGATGCAATCTGAATTCATATATATTCCAGAAAGTTTGAATAAAGCTTAGCATTCATCACGCTATTTACAAACTGCATGGGACCGAACCCACCGTTTGGGAGTCCCATTGGCAAACTTCAAAACCCAACCAAATTGGAATGGTCGGTAGAACCGGACTAATCTTATTCAGATTCAATGACTGAACCGAAATGAGTTAAAAAAAAAAAATCCGACCAAACCCAATGTACCGGTCAGCATCTATCCCTAACCGAATTTAATTTGTCAATAGAAGTAAAAATGTGTTGGCTGTGACTATATACAAAGAGATGGCTGGCTCTGTGGTTTCCGTGATGTTTAACCCTACCTTCCGTACCAAGTAACTGCCTGTACCTTCCTGCGCAAGTTACCACTGTTCCCTGTGCTTTGGGAACACTTCTATGTCACGAACAAAAACCTAGATGTTGGAACTGTATTGTCAGAGTACCCTTCCGTGACGAACCCACTGAGTAAACTCTTGTGAGAAACCAGGTACCATAACATCGTCTTCGCCTTCTTCCTCCTCTCTCCGGACATGACCAGGACGAAACTGTGAGAACACAAGTCCGGGTTAGTGTCTTTTTCTGTGAAGCTCAAATCATGTCAAGATGATGATGGACCCCCATGACACATGATACATTTTGAGTTCTGATAAAATTTATGTATGAGGTTGATCAGGTGGTTCGGATTGGCATGGTTTAGAGATATATCGAAATCAATATCCACGAACACTGCGAATTGATTTACATGTCACATATGGTATTTGAATGGTACAAACTACTATGAATACCGTTAATCTCATGCAACCGGGCCAAGACATGAGGGTAAAAGTGAGATATGTTTGAGGTATGAAATAATTGGGACTATGAAATGAAGTACCTCGACTGTAGAGTTCGTTATACTTGAAGAAGTGATGGATTCGTTTTCCATATCAGTATAAATATTGTCTGAAGACCAAGACAAGGAGCTGCAGAAAGATGAGGAATTAACAATGAGTAAGAATTTTATAGATAATAGAACTAAGAAATTAACTGCGACATTGAACATAATCTATGAATGTGCAGGTAAGGGGTTAATGGACACAAAATATGAACACACACAGACTTCAGGGTTTAGGGTTTAGGACAAACATAGAACATAAAGTTAAAAGTTACCTGCTTTTTTCAAATGAATTCTCTACCAGTGAATATCTGTTCTTGCATGAATTTGCAAAAGCACAATTATCATCGCGCCCTTCAGCAAAACAAGGGCAATTGCCTGGAAACATACGGTTTGGATCCGTATCTCTCAGATGGTGTTCACAACAAATGGCCGAGAGAAAGCTAGAATTTTCAAAGAGGAAAAAGGATCATAAAACTAACAATGAATGAATGTCAAATGTCGAAATATGTAACCAAAATCAAGAGACATAAGGCAACACCTCAGAGAAGATGCTTCATTTTCAAAGACTGGGAAATCTGGATTGGATTCTGAGATACCTCCGTTTAATCCATCACGTGAAGACTGAGGATCTCTGTTGACAGCTTCCTCGATATTGAAATCACCATCCCAGATGATATTGTCAGAGAAAGATCTCCTAATAATCGGCCTGCAAATCATGTTTCTCAAGAAATGTTTAATCGTATCTACTTACACTAACTTTACGATCAAGACTTTTTTTTTTCAAGTATTGACTGGTGAAGAGGCCTTTTTGACGATAAGTACCTCGGTTTTTCATTGTCAAAGTTAGCACTATATCTTCCAATATTGTAATATTGGTCAGAATCCAACTCCCACAGTGCTGGGTTCCCCAGTTGTGGTTGGAAATGACCCAAGAACCTGTCAGGTTACCATGCAAACATCTTGTGGCTATATACGAACCCAATTATAAGAGGAAGCAAAAAAATAAAAAGATCAGAATGAACCTACATATTGATGGCATTTTGTTTCTGGCTGTCCAGATAAGCATTACTATAGTGACGACGCAAAGCTATGAAGATATCGCGGTGTTTGTTCACCAGATTCCATTCACCTCTCAGATCACAAAACATCTGAAATCATAAACTTACGAGCTGATACAGAGAGTTTAAAGATTTCCAGAATGCATCTCAAGAATAAAGCCGTTGGAAATCACCTTGTTGTGTGCTTCTGAACCACCATACTGCAATGCAAGTGTATCACCCATAGTTTGATAAATTTCCATCAGAGTTGTTGCTGGAGGGCTACTAAGATCAATGGTGGACGATGCTGTAATGCCTAAGGCATGCAACTGACGCCTGAGAGCCATTAATCCAAGTGCATACTGAGCGAAATTTGTGCGGTCTAAACAATCTATGCAGTTAGTTCTCAAAATCCCAGTTTGAAGGATCGATATATTAGGCATGAACGTCTCATTTTCTGCATTAATCACTTCCCCGTCTTGATCCGGAAGAGAGTGAGTGAATCCATCTCCTGAGTTCCTGCAGCATAGTTGTTTTATCACTAAGACTTAACACCAAAAGAGGAACACAATTTGTAATCAGGCCAGACAGTGACAAACAGTATAAATGCAGCTACTGCCACATGATACCCGCATAACAAAATTGATGATATAAAGAGATTAGTTACTTGCATTATTACATCCTAAGGTTCTGGTACTAAATCCATTCTAGATATTGACAAGTTCAACTTCCGCAGTAGAGGATTTTATTGCAAGCCCAGTTGTTATATTAACTGTCTCTAAATCTTGAACTAAGGTTGAGAACCTTTCCACTGTAAAGATAGACTAGTGCCCTGCTAAAAGAAACAAGGGTGTAACTTACCTAAAGCCCGAGTCATTTGGTACTCCTTCGGATCCGACACTTGTAGAAGCTTCACAGCAAAATATGTTAGTCAAGTCCAATGCCTTTGTCGCAAATATACATAAGCATTTGAATGCACTTGCAGCTCCACTGCAAAATTCGAGAAAAGATCGATAACATTTTAAAGATGTAAAAAACAGTTACGAAACCAACAACGTCCACGTTCTGCAAAAATATGGGGTATAAATGAGTACGTTTTGAAGTGTTTGCTGAGATCGAAATGAATTGGCCTTAAACGATTCTCCTTCCTCAAGCTTCTGTTTATAAATAGGATAGCTTTTGCGAATTCTGCACGTAAGATGGTTTCTCGGCGCTTTTTTTCACTTGCCTATTATCATAAAAAAGTAGAGATATAAACAGTCATTTAAGAAACAGAAAATGATAGTCAAAAGACAGAAAAGAAGCATCAAACTTGAGTGAGTTGTCCTACCTTTATCAGGTTCAGGATGATTATTGGATCCCCATATCTCTGCTTTAGATTCTCAAAGTGATGTTTGGTGGCCTCATAATTCCTTTCCTTTTTGTACACTGTGATGAGAATTACAAACAAACAAGAGGGATTTAGAATAGGAAATCAAAGAATGCCTAATTTATGGCTAGGCATACGATGCTTACATTCTATTTCTGGTTGTGGAATAAATAGAGAAGTCTCCTGGGACCAAAACAGTGGGATGGAACCCCTGTTCTGCACAACCGAACTTATTGCCACTCTCTGACCCTCGAGAACATTTCTGGAAATAATTTGCTCTGTCTCCACATCGTTGGCTACTCTGCCCATCTCATTAACACCTCGCCTTAAGTATCTACACAATAATAGGGAAACAAAAGAAAAATCAGTCTTATAGTCATAACAAGAGAATTCTTTTATGGGAGATTATTGTCGATATATAAGAACAATGGAAATACAGAATTGCTCAGTATTGAAACCCAGAAAACATTTTTCTTTTGTAATAAAATAACACGTTTAGCATCTAGAGGTTGTAGCCCCAGAAAGAACGAAGACAGAGAAATCAAAAGTGGCGAAAATGCTTTCAAGATGTTACCTTGTACCAGCAAAATGCCGTGAACGCCGAGCTATAACAGTGAGTACAAATTCTGTACCATATATTGCACATATAGTCTGGACAAAGAAACCGAATATCAGATAGTAGGTATGCTTTCTACTTCTTCCAAGGAAAGATAAACTAGGCTGTGAAAACTTATTTACAAGAAAGCAATACTTATATTTTGTTAAATACAGTCTAAGATATAATCCTGGCAACAAGATCATGTATGAATCATGCTTCTAATTGGAAAACTTTGCACACCAAGTCTCACAATGAAATAGAAAGGAGACTATCATGAGGACATTTCGAATTAGTAGACTTCTGAAAATCTACAAACTAATTATTTCATAGTTTACTTCCATATGTTAGTGTACCTGATTAAAGAATCCATAGACCAATGCAACAGTCCACATAGTATTCTGGAGGACTCTTCGGATCCTGCGGGTTAAGAAAGAATTCCAAACGAACAGTGTGTTGTAGTGAACTTTTCCTCTCTCACTGTTGCATATGTTCTTCTGAAGGCTATACATAAGGTTATATGTATAGCTGAAATAGAAGTCCTTTCTAAGATTCACCATACTAAGGAGCTTCTTGTACCTAAAAATATACATGAAAACATATGTGAGTATATGTTTATTCACCATGAACATAATGTTCATATTTTCGATCTTTGTTAAAGTTTCAGGGAGACGATAAACAACAGATAGCAAGTGGATAATAAGATTAGACAACAAAATCCTAAATGTCAGACAACAACCAAGATTGTACTTGCATTAGGGTTACAAATTACAATCAGGATCATCATACCTATTCTCTGCTAAAGACTCGGCCACTTCACTCAATACATTATGATTTGGAATTGTAATCATCCGGCTCTCCATTATACCGTAAACTGTATGGCCACAGATGGCACCCATCTTCTTTCTTTTTGTTATCACCAACATATAGTATGGTTCCAAAAATCTTACAAATCCTGCACCCGGGGAATCAAAGTTGTGTTCCATGAGTTCAACACAGCAAAGGAATTCTGCACAAAGAAAGGACAAGACCGTGCTAGTGTAAGAACAGAGAGATGTACCAATGATTCCATAACAAGTTGTGACCTCTTCAATTCCACCATACTTCTTGTTCCCTCTATCTATCCGTCTTTTCAGGTCAAGCCATTCATCTTTCGAATAATTCGTAGGATCCTCAAAGAGATTCAGCTCATTTGGTTCCGTCCGATCAATCTTTAAGATTCTCCGAACAGTCTTCTTCTCGTCTCTCCCAACCAAATAAAAATTCTGTGGAACAAAAGTACCAATGTGCTCAAAATTTTTGAAACTAAAAAGGGTAGGGTTTGCAGCTGAAATCGTGAATGACAGAATGAGAATTGGACTTAGACAAAACTTGGAACCAAAGGCTCATGTCATTGTACTAAAATCATACCAACACCACAAAACACATTCCAAAGAGAGACTCAAATTTGGAACTCACAGAATCTAACTCGAACCCTTTTACAAATTCTGAATCCTGTCGTTTCAGGTCAGCAAATATTTTTCATAAAAAAAAAAGCGATTTAAGACATAAACGCCAACCGAACAGCAAAAGTAAAACAAATCGACAGCAAAATTAGAGCTCCTGAGGCAAAATTCACGCAGAACAACAACAAGTTTCGCAGATCATCAAGAGAAAAGAGAGGGAAATTCACCGAGAGGGTACTGTAGAGCTTGAATTTCTGAAGAACAGGCGAGTGAATCAGCTCGGGCCCCGGGTGAACCCGAGGCTCCGATCCCATCCGAAAACCAGAATCCGGGGGGTTCCGAAACTGAGAAAGCCCGGAGACTCCGATTCCGAAGCAAGAGATTCACCAGAGAAGACAGAAGGAGGGACGAAAAAAACCACAACGATTTTCCTGGGAAAAAAATCGGGGATTGAGGAACGAAGACGATGATCTGATCACGAAGAAGAAGATGAACACTCGAGGCGACCTGGTTCGAATAGAAGACCAGTCAAGGTAACAAATTTGATCTTCAGTTAGCTTCTTTTTTTTCGTCCCAATCTTTTAGGCGCTAATTCTACGTATTTATACTCCCCATAAATACGTGGTCGTTTTGGTTTCTTGTATAAAAAAAAAGGGTCTCCTTTATTTTTCCCTAATACTAAAAGAACAAGGATTTATATTATATTTTTAAAATATTATATATATATATATATATATATATTTTAAAATGGTTCTTTGAAACCATATTGTAAACTAATGCACTAATTATATGTTTAGACCTTGCGGAACAAGAAAGCTACGACAAAAAAATAATCATTAAAATTGTATGATCTCATTAAAAGATTTAATGGACCTCCTCTTCTTATATATGAAAAGAGGACGCCGTCCGATAATTAACTAATTTGATCGACACGTTGGTACCATTGTAGTTACAAAAGTCAGATGATTAAGAAGTTGACGTGTTGAATCCTTTATATTATTAAAAAAAACAAACATTATTTAATTGTCAATTTTCAAAACAAAAACAATAATTATACGCTAACAAATAAATCTGTTTCATAAAGATATCAATGAATCAAATCTTTTATATAAATAATAAATTTTAAAAATATTAAATAATAATGATTGAAATACTTGTATTTTAACCACTATTTTAATCTCTCTCCCCATCCCCGCTGAAACTCGGGGGGCGGGGGGAATCAGATTTTCCCGCGGAACTTGAAAGTGTTGTGAGATTCTGAAAATGGGCCTTGGCTTGGCCCATAATCTAGGCTCCATATGGGCCATAAATTGGAGCATAAACGGTTCAAAGCCCAAATAAAGTTTGAAACAAGGCACCATAAAATAGATCTGGGCTCCAGCTGAACTCTGGTGACGACTCTGGCCAGAAATAGGACACGTTCGCCGAAAAATGAGTCAGCACTCGGGTCAAGACTCGGTCATGAATTTGATCTGGTCTCGGGTCAAGTCAAGGCCTTAGGCCATATAGATATTGGACCAAGGCTCCGACCAAAATGAGTCTAAACTCAAAACCAGACCAGTTTCGTACAGTTGCAAAATTTTTTCGACGGCATAAACAGATCGATGATTTTCCTCGGTGTTACATGTTTATGGCTTTAGAGTGAGTTCTGTCTGCCGATCTTTGAGAAAAAAAAACATCGACTTCACGGATTTTATGGTACAACAAAAAAGGATAAAGAACAATCTCAAAGCAATATACAAATCAGGAACAAAACAAGACAACACTCTCCCATTGTCATATGCACAAAGAGCTTCTGAGTGCAGACAACCTCAGAACACTCCCTCCTCAAAGTTCCAGAGATCCATGGCGTTGTCTCCGTCGAGAAGATTGTTCAGAAACGATGAGTCACAGTTACCCACTCCATACGGCATCTGAAAGAAACAGTCAGTCTCTTTCTCGAAAGCCAGAAGCTCCTCCGAAAGCGTAGAGAATTTGCCGTTCGATTCCGAATCATCAGCCTTCAGCTTCTTCGTCGGGTTGGTAACATCTTCGAACCACTCTGTGTCAAACGACGGGATCTCAATCGTCTCCACGTTCTTTTCCTCCCACAAGAGATCCAAACAGTCGAACGAGTCACTGCCGTCGGTCTGCTGAAGCGAGTTCTTGTCAGAACCAAGATGATGGTTATTAACGCGAGGCTTCTCTGCTACGTTGCAGTGATCTAGGCTCGAGTTTTGTTGCTCCGTGTTGACCGGTTTAGCTATTCTTGGTGCGACCTTACGCTTTCTTGAGGACGTAAAAGACGTGTCTGGGAAGTTCAACTTGGCTTTAGGGCCTCGGATTCTCTTAGCCTCCGAGTCATAAGCTCTTGCAGCATCTTCGGCTGTGTTGAAAGTTCCGAGCCAAACTCGTACTCCTTTCGTCGGGTCACGGATCTCAGCTGCCCATCTCCCCCATGGGCGTCGACGGATTCCTCTGTACCGACTCTTCTTCATCATCGCGTCTGTTATTTTGTTGTCCTTCTGTTTGTTCCCAGACACTGAGCATAACATAATTCAAGAGCAGAGTTATTTGAGACAGGATCATACTATCACACTAACTACTAAGGCATGAGAAAACAAATCGTCAACGGCATCAATCTTCAAAGTTGTAGCGACAAAATCCGGGGAAAAATTGGATATAATCCGGTTTAATCCATATTCCGCATCAAATGAACTTTCAAAAGCTAAATCAAATTCGAAATTAATCTATTTCAAGGAACCAGAGGAGTCGGATTCGAGAGATTACCAGTCGATTTGCTAGACGCTGAGAAGGCGAACGACTTGACGCCGGAGAATCCGCCCAGGTCGTCTTCCTCATCGGACTCGTACTCATCGAAATCCTCGAAAGTCAAGTCAACGACATCGTTCCGCCTCCACGGCTTCCCGGATTTTGCGGTCTTCCTCCGATCGGACCAGAGATCGTCGGCGGTCAATCTGCCTGACCTCGCCGGCGATATGTACTCGGAAATTATGGCTCCTCCACACATTTCTCAGGTTAAAACGAGAGTAAGGTTTCAAGATTTAGGAATGAAGTTCTTAATCGGCGCTTTGATTTTTTCTTTCCGATTTGCTTGGTGTCTGAGTTTTGTGTTTGGGCCGCAGTCCTTTATAGGTGGCGAGATACGTGTTTTCTACGGAGGGCAAGTGGGCTTTACAGATTTACCGTAATACCCTTAGTGAAGGTTCCCTCTGCCTTCACACCAACAAGATGGAGAAAACGAACTCAATTGATTTTCCGAATTTATTTACTTTATAAAAATTATGAAATTAAATGAAACGTTGTTAAAAGTTTGTGGTTAAAAAATTATGTAATAAACGTTATCATCGAAATCACCCTCAGTTAAAAGGCAAATGTTTTCTGGTTACAAATAAAAAGTAGAAAAATGAGATAAAAGGGTAATGGTGGATCCAAAAACATTATTATTTATTTATTTATTTATTATTGAAAAAAACAAAGATCTGCAACTTGCAAAGGTAACTGGGCAAGTGGCTCCTTCCAAATTGGGAAGACGAAACTTATAGTAATAAAGAATATATCCATTTGCGTTTATATATTCCAATTATAAATTTTGTAGCTCTTGCCACTTTGACAGCTTACATTCAGCGTGTGCACCTAATCATGGTCTGTATTTGGACCACAACCCCCCTAATTAACTACTAATTATCTGACTAATTAACTTAATTAATCCTACATGTCACTGTAGATTATGATAAACTCGAATCGCCTACTCGGCCAAATTGCATTTTTTTAATCTTATATCACCTTTGGTGAACCGTTTCGATTTGTTTTTTCTTTGCATTCTATCAACCAATTTGTTACTTAATCACAAGATAACATATGTTATAATGAGAAAATTTTCGATTTGTGTCGGTCTAGATATAAAATTCGGGGTATATTAAAAAATGGGCATGCATTAAATGTTATGGACGACATAGATGCAGACGCAATGTATGACCATTTTGCAGTTGATGTATTATCACTTGCAATAGAGTATTCAATATTTTTACACGCTATTGATATACGTTATATACATATAGTATTTCTTTTGATATATGGTAATGTATGATCAATGTTTACACGTCGACGAAACTACTTTGAGTACATACATACATACATACATACATACATACATACATACATACATACATACATACATACATACATACATACATAATATAAAAGATGATATATAGGAGATGTATTTATATATGCATATTATATTCTTTGCATGTTCAGACATGCACACACATATTTGAATTTGAAATCAACCCGAATAGGTCATATATAATTATATATATTGAAGGGTTCTTTCTATATATATATATATATATATATATATATATGGGGAATACATTTGTTGTGAAGTTGAAAACCATTTGGAAGAAGACTGACTAAACCCATGGTTTTGGCCACTAATCATTATTTAAGTTTTAAATTTAGGAAAAGGAAAGAAATATATTTAATAGTACCAACCAACTCTTTTTTTGAATCTTTGTGTTAATTAGCTACGACCTAATTGATATATAGTCATTAAGAATATATGTTAAATCAAATTAAATATTCATAATGGCCGTAGATTGGGGTCGTGGATCAACCTCTAATTCACCTTTTAACCCCACATAGAAACGAAAGGGTAAAATATATAATTATACGATTGGATATTCTTAATTTAATTTAATTAGATCTTCATCTATATATAATTAATTAATAATATTTTGCATAATATATTTGTTTGATTTAACTAACCACCTCATGAGTACTTTGGATTTTCTTTGAAAGCTTCTATACGAAGCCTCATGGTCATTATTATTTTTTATTACGTGTATATATATAAAAAAATATTTTTTGATAATATATATATATATAATACATTATAATTGATAAATTACTAGAGATCATTATTCAGTTATTGGCAACTAGATACACTCTTGCTTTTTACAACTTAGTAGACTTAATAAAGTTTGTTCAAAATTCAAGGGTCTTATTCATATACAAGGACATGCAAAATATTAAAAAAAAAAGTTATAGTCCCAAAGTTTCTTTTTTAATTTGTCAAATTGGACCGACATTAAGGAAATTTCAGAAGTAAAAAATCAATGGTGAAAAACGGGATTATGAACAAATATTGAGGACCTATTCTGCAATTTCGCGTTTCTTTATCACAAGAAAAGTTAATTTCGGAAGCCCAATTTAATGCTGTAATTAACTCAATGAAGGAATAGTAAAGTTTCCATTATTTGGGTTAATAAAGCATAAACATCCAAAGGACAGTGTAATTTATAAATCCGACACTTGATCGCTTCAACGGAGAGAGAAATATTAAAAATCTAAAGACACGTCGATGGAACAAGGAGGAGAAGCCTCAACGTTCACTTGCATGTTCCCCATGGAACAACAACAGCTCCTAAACCCTAACTTGCTGCTCAAGAAAAACCCCGAGAAGACGAAAAACCCCAAAACAAGGGGCCGGCAAAGGATAGAGATCAAGGAGATCAAGGAAGAGGCGAAACGCCAAGTCACGTTCTCCAAACGCAGACGCGGTTTGTTCAAGAAAGCCGCGGAGCTGAGCGTTCTCTGCGACACGAAAATCGCGATCATCACGTTTTCGCGCTGCGGCAGGATCTACACGTTCGGCGACGTCGAAACCCTAACCGAGAGGTATCTCCACGGGGAGAAGAAAATTGTCCCTGCGAGGCTCGGGGAATACTCCGGCGGCGGAGATGCTTACGTGGAGGCGGAGGAGCAGCGGTGGTGGGAGATGCCGGTGGAGAATGTGGCGGCGGAGGAGATGGAGGAGTACTTGGCTGCGATGACGGAGTTGAGAGAGAATGTCAGAGGAAGAATCTATCAGATGAGTTGTGATCGGGCGGTGGAGAATCCATCTGAGCAGAATCCGACGGTCGAGATCATTGAGTCGAAGCAGACGGTGGATGATCTAAGCTTGGAGTATCTGACGGCTGAGGATAATCGGGGCGACGGATTGTTTCTGCAGCAGTTTCTTGCTGAAAACATGATGTACACTGCTAATTAATAATTAGGTAATATAAATATAAATATTTAGATGGTTTTGAAATTATTATTAATTCCAAGGTTTAATGATATCCATTTTATGCTAATGGTGTTGTTTAATGGCAAAATATTGGATTAAAGCCTCGTTTGTTAGAAAGTTTTCTTATTTAATGTTTAAAAACCTCACTCATTAATCAACTTATGCAAAATTGATTGAAATTAGATAATTCAACTGGTGAATTGGGGATACAAAACGCATATTTTGTTCCGAATTCGAGCTTTAAATTGGAAAGGATAATGTAATTTCAATCACATGGTTCGATTAGTCGGGACCGAGGCGCAGAAGACCTAATTACCCTAAAAAAACTCATGCAAAATTACGCAATAATTTGAAGACTCGTGTCATTTCTAATCATGTATTAAAAGCTTAATAAGAATGATTATTAGTTTAAAACAAACGACAGGACAATTAGAGTAGTAAAAAATTAGACGTGGACTCCAAGATTAGTGAAAACAAAAGATCCAACATTAAATGCGGAATATTTGTGTCAAAAGAATAAGTGGTTTAAATTATTTCTTAAATATTCAAGAGAATAAAATATATATCAAGAAAGCAATTAAGAAGCTACTAGTATATATGATATTAATGCCTGAATACGGAAAACACGTCGAGAAAAAATGAATTTCAATCTATCGGGATTAATTAATGGTATTTATTTATGATGTAATTTAAATAATTTCAAATTCTACTACAGCTATTTAAAAATAATTTTTTTATGGAATAAAAGATTCTTAATTATATACAAACGGAATCGATCATGAAGATGAGGCAGCGATTGGTGGAATTGATAAGATTTTATTTTTTTAAACATCCATTTTAAAAAAAAAAAGTCAAAAATTTCCAGAATTTTAACAAAAGTCAACACAAAATAAATTCACAAAAGGCTGATTGAGTACAAAAGTCAATAAATAAAATTTCAAAGGATCACATACGAATTGACCAAATTTTATCTTTACCTTTGGGCAGAAGCACATATATTGTTCTTAAAGAATCGAAATTAAAATACGAATTGACAATTTGGACCGAAAACTATAATATTTCTTGGCCAAACTCCTCTTATTATTGCAACGTTGACCACATTGTCGCCTCACCCACCCAAACGAGACCATATGACAAGGAACAGAACTTGAGTTCAAGAAACAAAACCTTGTAAACAAAAACAAAACATTAACAAACGGACATATGACAGGGAACAGAACTTCAAGGCATTTTATTATTCAGTTTTCTGTTAGATCTCTGAAAAGGGTTGAGGGCTGAAATCTGCAGAGAGCATTTGCATTTAGTCACGGAACTCGTCCATGAAGCTCTGATGGAACTCAGTTATACGGCTCACGATCGCCGGGATCTTGTCCTCCTGCGGAAGTATCGTGCATCTGAAGTGCCATGTTCCCGGAACCTGTCCGAAACCAAACCAAACCAAACGGATCAAAAGCATCGATCTTGTCAGCTTTCGAGACGAACCCATGTCATAAAATGTCGAGGAGCATAAAGGGTTGGAAGTTTTTTTGTTTGTTTTTGCTATTACCTGTCCGAAGCCAGAACCAGGAACCACCACAACTCCAGTGGTGTTGAGAAGGCGTTTGCAGTAGAAAGCATCTGGTGCTGTCTTTGCAGCCTCTGCAGCTTTGATTGCCTTTTGAGGAAGGTTGATGCGTGGGAAGAGGTACATTGCTCCTTCTGCTCTGTTGCATGTTACTCCCTCCAGCTTGTTTAGTGCCTCTTCCAGTGTCTGCAATTGAGAAAAATCACATCAACACGAGGGTAATCAAACGATGAGATCACCAAGATATTTATATGATCTAAATTGCTAACAGAACGATAATCCGACCTTTGCCCGTCTCGCCAAAGATGAGAGAATGCCATCTCTCTCTGCCATGTATGACTCATAGGACTCGTCACCAACCTGACCAAGTAATAGAAGTGTCCAAGTTCAAGAATATGAACTGTGCTAGAGACCGAGCTCAAACTCAACTGAATCAGGTTTGGAAAGAATAAGACTCTTAGCTTTTACCGATGAACGTACCTTGGGTGGGCTCATGACAAGGCTAGCAAGAATCTGACCAGAGATGTTAGAACAAAGATTCACCGAGGCAACTTTGTATATCTGTTCTCTTACTTCAGGAGTAAACCCAGTAATCTCCATGTAACCCCCTCTTTTCCCACATTCTCCATAGTACCCTATCAAAAGTGTGAAAATTTCAACAAAATCCATAAACAAGAACTTCCAGTTTCCTTAAACTTGTTTATAAAAATGAGAAATATGATCTTATACCTTTGGAGACGGACTGGAATGAGACTAAGCAGATATCCTTCTCACCGTAACCCATAGAGCGGGCTACCTTCTTAAACGAATGGAATTCTTTGTCAGGAACATAAACATTTTCTTGATAAACCTCATCAGCTAAAAGAACCAAGCCCTCTTGCTTGCAGAAATTAACAATGTCACGCTGGTTATCTTCCGCCAGAACCTTCACAAGAATTTTTACAGGGCAACGGTTAGAGAAACAGTTCCGTTTATTACATCTTGAGCATGTTGATAAGATTGATCATCTAATCCTGAAGCTTAGTATACCTGTCCTGTCGGGTTACCAGGGTTTATGACAACCAAGGCTCTTACAGCAATGCCCTTTGACCTCGCATCCTCCACTTGCTTCTTAACTTCAGATACTTCCAAACCCCATCCGGTTGCTTCATCAAGATAGTATGGAACCTAACAGAAGACAACAATCAGAAGAAAGGAAGAGAAATGGGCAAGCTTTTTTTTTTAATATGTTGTAGAAGTCAAGACAAATTACTCAAACAGCAAATGAATGAGTATTAAAATCCCTTGCTCAGCTATGTCCATCAAAATTTCAATACCATTAGAAACAAATACCCGAAATAATATTTTCTCAATAGCATACCAAAGTTCCACCATGCAGGGCAATCGAAGCTGAGTACAACGGGTACTGTGGAATTGGGCAAAGAATTCCATCGTTCTCTGAACTTATTAGAAGTTGCATCATCATATGGACCTGGATACGCGGAAAAACAGAACAGAACCACTTATTATGACACGCTTTAAAATGTCTTGTCATAGAGAAAATGACCGTTCAATTATTATTACCGCTGGACTTGCACCATCTGTCAAGAAAATGTCATTTGGATCACAAGGGAAACCATCACGGGCTTCGATTCCAGCAGCAATAGTATCACGTAATCCCTTGACACCCTGACATGATGGAAAAAGAAATTTACTCAACCGACTGATGGAGTGATTCCAAGAGTTGCACCAACTCAAATATTATGGCTTTAACCTTTAACTAGTAAATAAGACCCTTATGACAAACCTGGCTGTGACTGTAAGCACCAGTTGCCCTTCCAGGAATTTGGTCAAGAATCTTCCATGCTCGACCTATTGCATCAGCGCTGATACAAGATCCATAGAGTCAATATATATACAAACTTTTATAACATACAATAGAAAGAACAACAAATACTATCAGTCAGTGGTTCAGAAATCAACATGGGAAACTGAAATGTAGGCAGGAGTCTGAATCAGTTTTTTATACCTGAACAAACCATGTGTTTGACTCTCGTCCAAAAGAGCCGGGTGGTCACACAAAGCAAGAACCTGAGCAAACAATGACAAAAAATTACCACTGGAAACAGATACATGGAATAAAATCCAAAAAAAAAAAGCTTACTAACCTCCCGGAAGTATGTGATAGGCTGCTGACCAAGAGATTGTGGATTCCCAATGTTGCAGTAGATTATCTGTGTAAGACAACAAAGATTGTGCATTTCATTCATGTAAATGATTATATACAAGGGAAGAGTAACATTAACCATATCCAGAAGTAGATTTTCAGATTGTGAAGCTAAGTAACTTTGATCTTCGAGTAAAGTCGATATACATTGCTTCTCAAAGCAGAAGATAGGATTTATCGTCCAAATACACAGAATAAAACACAAGATGTACCTCGTCAAATGGATAAGCATCCTTGTTGACCTTCAAATCTTCTTGCAACCTCTGCGAGATGGAATCACGATGCAAAACAGGTGAGAAAAGCATTATTCAATTTGAAAATGGCAAACAGACAGACCTCAAAGAGTCAAACTACAACACAATTTGACAGAATCAGTTGTGAGGTTTTGTTCTGAAATTCCAAACTATTGTTCCCATTTCAGAGAATCTGCAGAGAAGCCAACTGCGTTTTCCAGTGATCAAGGAATGTTATATTACCTGGGCAATGCTGACAATTTCTCCACGGACAGCATACTCACATTTGAGAACCTGAAACAGAGAAAGGAAACCTTGATGATACGCTAATGCCCAAAAGCAGAAGAATTTCAAGAACAAGAACAACTAGAAATGCCTTAGTGAGTCAAACATCTAGGAAATTCGTATCATCGAAAACTGTCCGAACTAGATAGATATAACAGATCAAAAGAAGGTAAAAATGAAGATGAACAGGCAAAATATGTCGCCGATGACTGAAAGACAAAACTCATCACAAATTAGACCAAACACAATGAGCTTTTCGATTGACTTTATAATGTTATGAGACATGCCATAGGGCAAAACCTAAGTGAAGAAACAGGCAGACCATGGGACAGTTCAGTGATGAAAGATCTGATAAACATAAGGGAAATAGACTAAATCCAGGTGCCATCTGAAAAAAAAAAGATATAATACAACAAATGGGGATAAAAGGTATCAAGCAATCATTTAATCATCACGAGCACTGAGTTCAGGTAAATCTAGAATCGATGAAACTGGAAGCATATATATATATATAAGAGAAAATCTTTTGATAATTATATAAAAAAAAGGGTTTAACCCGGAATTTCTCAATTCAAATGTAGATCAGGAATAAAGGAGCACAACAAACATAACACAAAGCAACATCAAGGGAGCAAACATTATCGATGAAAAGCCAAAAACTCAGATGTAGGAACAAAGATAACATGCAAATCGATGATTCACAACAGAAGAAAAATTTATAACCCAGCAGAGAAGTTTCCAAAAAACGAAGAGCAGAAAACACAAGCAAACTAAGAAGCTGCTAAAGCAAAACCCAGATCAATAACACAAACGAATAATAAATTTACCGAAGCTCATTATGAAAATCGATCTTCATCACCTGGGAACTAAAAAGAAAGAGGATTCATATACATATGACCCAAAAGAAAAGCAAACCCATGAATCAGGCAAACCCCAAATCAACAAAGAAAATGAATTTCCCAAAACCCATCGTCCAAAACAGAATCAAACAGCTACCCACGAAATCAATCAGCCATTAAACCTAAAGGGAAGCCGCAAATCACCTTGGGGTTGATGGATTGGACGGTGACGGGAAGGGAGGAAGAGGAATTGGAACCAGCCATGTCCGAAGCAGAGGAGAATAGACGCGAGGAAGAAACAGAACCAGAAGCCGAAGAAGAGGAAGGAAGGAACAGGGAGACGAAGCGGTGATTTCTGTGATGTTGACGGGTTCGGTCTGAGAGGCTTTTAGCTTGGCCAATCACGAATCTCCGCATCTGTGCTCTGATTTATACTACGTGGTGCTCAAGGCGAGAGAGATGATTTTCACCAGATTTTCACGAGGACACGAACGTTCCTTTTGTCCACTTTCCCCTGCACACAGATTTGGAATTTCTCCAAATTCTCCCTTGCCTGCCACGGCTATATATATCTGTCTTCCCATCTTTACTTTTCTTTTGCATTGAAAGATGGAAACTCTAAAACAAAAAGAGAGGAAAAACTCGGCATCTAAAAAAAACCCTAATAGTAAATCCCAAACTGACGTGTTCATGGTGCTAACGATGAAAATCTCTTATTGGTGGTAATGTGTAATTATTATTATATTTTATTTACCATATATGACAAAGGGGTATTGTTTTAGTACTAACCTCGAGTTTAACTAATGGGTTTGGACAAAACAACGTGCCTTTGTCCCCGAGTCGCGACAGAAAACAAAAGTCGAATAAATTAATCAATTATTGTTATTTAAATTTGCCCATTTTAATTAGCTTCGAGTTTTAACTAAACAGTGTACTCAATCCTATATAAACATGGGGACACAAAAAATATATATGTGCGTATATACGTATATATGTGTATGTGTGCGTGTGTGCTGATGTGTACAAAAAAAAAGAAAAATAAACTGGACAAAAAGATGAGGATCTGTGGGTGAATTGGGCCTTGAATAAAGCCCACCATTCATTTATTAGGCCATGCACTATAAGGCCCATATATAACGTTGGCCCATGGAGGTCGCCCTTTACAAGCCCGTTTAGGAAAAAAAAAAGGAATGAATTTTTTCTGATAATGCAAACCGGGTTAAACCAAACCGGTTCGAAATCAAACCCATGATTTCAACGCACCATTTGCACTGATATCAACCGAGTAGAGAAAGTAGCTCGCGTTTTACATCCCGATAGAATAAGTGAAGGGAATTTCTTATTCACAGAAGCCCTTGAAGATCCCTGTTCTTGTTATATCTACACATCGGTTTATTATTTTCTCACAGTTTGCATTTCACCTTTTCTTGTTGCATTCCAAACTTACAGAGATCTGCCAGTGAGCTTTGAGCCATTTCTGGGTCCAAATCCATAAGATCGAAACCCGGATTGTGTATCAGCAAAATCTTGAGATCATATCATATGTTTTCATTACATTACAGCTCCCCAGAACAAGTTTTGGTACCCTACTCTACAAAAAAATGCAGAAGATCTAAGAAGGGGAAAACAAATTAACACTGAATCTACGGTGTTCCTGCACTTGCGATCTGATGATTCCTACTGCCTCTGACATCTACCGGTGGATCGCTCCTGGTAAAAAAAATAAAATACGTATCTTGATGTCAGTTTACATCAAAAACTGGCCACATCTTCGTAGAAAAGACATGGAAACAGAATCTGGGACGTGGTAAAGATTGCAACTTTACTGTTTATTTTTTTTACTTGTTCTGTATAGGATTTGAGCCGCTCCTTGGAATCCTCCGGAAGCTATCTTCTTCGCCCACCAGAGGCTCGTCCTTCGTCTTCTTGTTCATCTGCAAATCTCTAACAGCTTCACGAGGAGGTGAACCCGGGGAAGAAGCTCTCGCCCTTGACAGGGGGCGACTCTCTGCTTGATGATTGCCACTCAAGAAAGCTACAAGTAGCAGAAGAATGGCTGCAATGGTCGATACAGATGCACACAGTCTCTTCATGGCTGAGTCCTTTTTTGGCTTCTTTCTTCACTGCTTTCAGTGTTTTGGAGCTCTTGGGGGTGTTCTGTCCTAAGCCTGCAACTGTGGAAATTTTGATAGAGATGAGAGAGAGAGAGAGAGAGAGAGAGAGAGAGTGCAAAAGCTTGTTGCTTTGTAAGAATATGTTCTGCTCTAAGACTTAGTTGTTGGGATCTGATCACGTGATCAAGTTTGACTGTTGTTATTCTATTTCGCTGTTTTATTTTATTTTTCCTTTTCCAAAATTCAATTTTTTAATTACACGCAATTCCTTTTGTTTAGTTTCTTTCTGAGTAGAAGGTGAGATATTTTATTTATCATAAATCCTTGTGCTTATTATATATAACATCATTCAAAGGTGTGGTAGGACATGTAAATACGTGTTCCTGAGATGCGATCACGTGATTAAGGCACGTGATTACTGTTTACTGTTAATTTTTTTGTTTTGCCCTCATTGGGAAACTCGAAAAGGGCAGAAACTGAGTTTTGTTATTTGTTTTTAAGTTTGGGTTTAAAGGCAAAACATTGGAAGTATTAGTTTGCATGTAAACAGCTGTTTTGTCTCTGCTTAATCATCATCTCCTCCCCAATTTTTTTTTTTCTTTTTCAATTTTTCAAAATTTAAAATTTTGAAAATTGTTTTTTATTCTGATTTTGTTGTAAGAACATGCATCTTCTCGGGGTTATAGATTTATTGTAGTTTTCGACGATTGTATCAACCGTTTGATGATTCAAATGTTATATAAGTTTATATAATTGTATTTGTAATTGTTATAATACCAAACCGGTCGGTTGAATTTGGAGATATCGGTTTGGGCAAAACCAACCCCAGCTTAGTCCATTTTCCTCTCTCTAGCTTTCTCTGTCGGTCTCTCTCTCTCTTTCGCTCTCTCTCTCTCTCTGACGAAAAAGTGAGGACAGATAATCGACGAGAAACCCCAGAGAGAGAATCACCCTCGAGAAATTTCGATTCAGGTGCTGAATTTTTGTCTCTGATTTTCCCAAATTTTCCTTGGATCTGGTGCAATTACTTTCGAATCTTTTTCTCCGCGTTCGTTTCGGCCTTCTCTGTGGGACCGAAGCTTGAATCGCAATTGTAGCCTTCATCTAACTGGGGATTTTACTTTGGTATGTGGGTTTCTTGTAAAGTTTATTGGGTCTATTTTAGATTTTGATCTATACGATTCGCTTCGATTCGAGCTGTATGAGTTGGTGTTTTTGCAAATTTGCTATATTGAACGGAATTTACGACTTGAGGTAGTACCTTTTAGGGTTCTTTAGAGAATTTCCTTCAAACGGGTCGGAGTTTGATCGTTGCTGATTCGAGTTGATTAGGTTGAATGTGTTTTTATCGAGTGGTTTGAGTGTTTCCTCGGCTTGTGATTTTTTGGGGATTATATTCCAAGGTTTCCTGATGATCAAATCATTGTTGATTCGAGTTCTACCTGAAATTCTCGGCATATGGCGTTTGGATATGGCGTTGATAGTATTACGTGTTTCACAGTCTAGACTGTCTAAAGCTTTGCATGAAATTCTCGGCATTTTGCTTATGGATGTTCAACTGCTTTCATTTGTTTGCATGTTCCATTTTCGTGTAACTTCAGCTACCTTGTTAAGTTGACAAGTTCACATCCGTAATTGGAAGATCATACACGTGTTGTTGTCTTCATCAGTTTCGCATACGTATGTTGTCGTCCCGTTTGATGGTTTTTGTCCTTGTCTGTTTGAAGTAAGTTTCTTTTACTGAGAATGGTTCCTTTTGACCGGTCTCATACGAGAGAGCTCGTATGTTTACCCTGTCTTTTAATAAGTTGGTGGGTTTTCCTTTTCCCTCTGTAATTTTGTCTTCAATATGTTGGTTTTGGTAATGGCTTTAACAGGACCTAGAGGTGGTCTGATCTGCAGCACTTCAATGGCAGAGAAAGTTTGTATTAAGCGTCTTCAGAAGGAATATAGAGCACTTTGCAAGGTCCTTTTTTCTTGTTCTATCTTCATTTTATTGAGCATGGATGAGATTCTCTATTTTTATCGTGGCAACATTGGGTCAACCTGTTTTCTCTAAGTTCCTAAAATACGATTACGTTTCTTTGTGCAACGTTTTATGGTTTTATATCTAGAGAATAATTTGTTATTTGTATAGTCTATTCGTTGCTCTTGAGTATATCTGACATTTGCTTGGGATGGGTCTGTAGGAACCAGTGTCCCATGTTGTTGCTCGTCCTTCCCAAAATGACATTCTTGAGTGGCGTAAGTATTTTACTGTCGTCTATTCTTTGTTGTCTTGTCCGCTCTATGCTTTCTAGGCACTCTGTTAGAAGATTTTGCTATGGTTCTATAGAAGTGCCAACATGAGGTATATATGATAAAACTGGTACAAGAGAACATGTATCCTTTCTGGGGGCTACAAGAAGTTAGGATTAACCAGTTTCAAAATTATTTTGATGGAATTATAATACCTGTATTTTAATATAGTTAAAGTTAAACTGGATTGTTTCTGAAAATCAGCTGAACCACTGGCTTTAATGTTACAGATTATGTATTGGAAGGTGGTGAAGGAACACCGTTTGCAGGTTTAAATCTTCTCTCATAGCTAACTTGTATGTTGCGGTCCTCTGTATCGCTAGGCAGTATCTAATTTCACTGCTCGCAATTGCCTTTGAAAGGTGGATTTTACTATGGAAAGATCAAATTCCCCCCAGAATACCCTTACAAGCCACCTGGAATTACGTATGTTCTTTACTTCCCAGATTTTGGTCTCTACATCGCTGTTTCCTTGATTTTAGCCCAGCTTCTGGTAAATCAATTGTTCTCTTGGCTGCAGAATGATCACACCAAATGGCCGGTTCATGACACAAAAGAAAATCTGCTTGTCTATGAGTGATTGTAAGTTGCATTCGGCATTTTGTAATCGATTGCTTCAACTTTCCTGTTATCTTGTCGTATATCTGATTGTTTTTCTCATGGGGTTTACAGTTCATCCAGAAAGCTGGAACCCGATGTGGTCTGTGTCAAGGTATAGATCTTTCTTCTAATGCACACTCATCTATCATTTAACTGCAATGTCACATTTTTCTCCGGTTTTAGGGTACTAAAGGTCTATGTACTCATGTTCGGCTGTTTCTCCTTTGTAAGTGCAGCATACTCACAGGACTTCTCTCATTCATGGTAAGCTCATTGTAGTTTCAGAGTTTCTCCTGCTTGAATGACCTCTCAATTTTTTCTCTTCGTTGACATTTTCCTAAAAGTTTTCTGTGGAAGTGTCTCGTTTTTGTTATGTTGTGTTCAATAAAGTTGCCATTTCGTATATATAGAAACAGTGTGTTTCTTTTTCTACTTGGCAGCTTCCTAGGTCAGGAAAGTGAATCCTTAGATCAACCTGTCTTCGAGAACTGGATGTTGCGTTTGTTTCTGTGATTGATCAGGCGATCTGAAAGTGACAGATCAATTATTCCATCATACCCTTTATTACATCGCTTGTATTAAAAACGACAATTTCCTTTGTGCAGATGGATAACAGTCCCACAACCGGAAGTGTGAACACTACTGCGGTCGAGAAGCAACGGTTGGCTAAATCATCTCTTGCGTTTAACTGTAAGAAGTAAGTTCAACCCCCCACCATAACAATTTCTAAAACCATGGGTTCTTCTAAGTTTAGGCTCTTTTTCATGATATCCATCTAAAAAAGATGATTAGAACACATTGGATGGACTCTTGGAAAGTTCTGCTACCTTTACTGAATGCATGTTGAGTTTTTAGACTTAACCATTCTTTGTCCTTTGAACAAACATTTGCTCATTGTAGCAAATCTTTCCTGCATTATGGGATGCATATATCTAAATACACTCCCAACAAAACTGGTTACGTTTTCTTCCGCGTTTTTCATTTCTGACAGCCCAACGTTCCGCAAACTATTCCCGGAGTTTGTAGAGAAGTACAACCAGCAGCAACTGGCCGAGCAGAGCACTTCCCAACAGATGCCAACGGAAGAATCGCCCGAAAAGGAAAACGCCAAACCCAAGTCAGAGAAACTTGTCGAGCCGACGACGGAGGGAGAGGTGAACGAGAGGAGGAGGAACAAGAGACAGTCCTTGCCGACATGGATAATACTATTGCTTGTTTCTGTTTTCGGGGTTGTAATGGCGCTTCCTCTGCTTCAACTCTGACTCTGCTCTCCAAAGAAGAACTCTTAGAGAGAATGTGGGTAGTCCTTGTCCGAATACTTCTTATCAATTGCCCAGGGTGTGCTTATTAAAGCAAATACTTGGTTTGATTTTTTGCATTTAACTCCATACATATATATATATATACATATATATATATATATATATATATATATATATTAGCTTACTGGGAATCACTTGTATAGAATGGGACTAGTTGTTGCTGTTGGGAAATTTAAATGTTCCTTGAAGCTTTCAACTTCTCTTTGAAGCAAAAAAACTAAAGTGATAAAATAACGTTTTTATATTAGTGAAATTTTATTTTATTTTACTTATTCTTGTGCACTAGTTTATACTTTCATATATTTATATGGAAGCTTGCATGTTTAGTGAAATTAATTTTATTTTTACTTATTTTTCTTCAATGAAATAAGAAAGAAGTGATTATGATGAGAATGTTGTGATGGATGGATATTCTAAAGTAAAATTAACGCATAGGGTAGAGTCTAAGCAAAGGAAAAAAAAGTGTTTTGTAAAGCAACAAAGTGAAAGAAAAATATATATATATATAAATGATGGACTTAGGCCAAATAAATACATATAATTAGGGGCCTTAATCACCGGCGAGACGTCGTTATCTCATTCCCCGACACCACCTTAATTTGTTTACTCACTCCCCTTTTGTATCCGTTGACCAATATGAACTCCATTCAAAAAGCCCCACAGTTCATTTGCCTGAAATTTTACATATAGTAAATGTCCATCTCTCACCAAAAACCATGGAAAGATCTAATGAACATACCAGAAACAGGAGAGAAGATTCTCAGCTCGATTTCTCTTTCTTGTTGGCTGTACATCTACATGAACCAGAGCTAACGAACGGGTTTCCTTTTCTTCTTCTTCTTCTGAATAGTTACTAGCAAAAGCAAGGCACTATGCAGATGCAAGTACTGAGGAAGTGAATCAGATCTGTGGCATGGATGCACACAGACCTTGGAAGACTTACCTGTTGTCTTGGTGGAAAGCTGAGAGAGAGAAGACAGTGGCGACCGAAGACATGGTGTCTGGTCCTATCTATGGAAGCCACAAGGAAGTGAAAGTGAGACTGAAGCGACAGGCTTCAAGCCATGCTTCGGCCGTCGTCTTTAACCTGAACAAGATGCTGAAAAGATCAGAAGATGAGATGCCATATATGTGCCTTGACCAATCAAACAGCCCTCCTCACCTCAGAAGCCATGGGCCTATTTACTTAGTGACATGAATGTAATACCAGTGATATATATATCATGGGCAAGACTCGGATGTTTCCCCATCACTTAATGTAAATTGTGTGTTTCCAGACCTGAAAGATGCAATGTAACAAGCAAATTCGAATCCTAGTAGAACACCATATTTGAGACACGAACTAGGCATAATCCAATGTGAAAAGAAGGCCTTGAATTTCTTTCTCTTGGGTACATATACGATACTTAAAGCCAAGACGAAAGCTTTCAAACATAACCCGAGTAAGAACCGAACCGAGACAACAGAAGAATTTGACAATCTTCAGGCAAGTCTCTTAACCAGCTTTATCTAATTACAAATCTTCAACCATCAGATGCAGATGCAGCAGTACTAGAGCTACTCCCACTGTTACAAACCACCCTTTTGTCTCTGCTCAAAAACCTCTTTAGAGACCTCAGCCTTGTTGTCATGGCAGATTTCGATTCTTCCTCCTCAACACAAAATCTCGTAGAGGATGATGAGGACGAGGACGGCATATTTTGGGTTATGTTTGCACTTGTTGGGGGATCATTAATCTCCACAACAACAGCTTCTTGAGCTCGAGAAGCAAAGTTGCCAATGCCATCTTCAAGAGGGGCAGCATTGTTGTTGCCGGTGCTAACCTGATCTAGACTGCCCCATACCAATATATTGGTGGGGAAATTTGGAGATTCTGGAGAAGGATTTAGAGCAGAGCTTGGATTTTGAGACTGAGAATCATGGTGATTATTGGTACTAGCAACAGCTGCATTGTCTGAAACCGGTTCAATTCGCTTGGAACTGTGCTCAGGTCCAAGAACCGAGTTTCTGCAAATCGGACAAGTTGAGTGAGACTGGAACCACATGTCAATACAATCGACATGAAAGCTGTGGCTGCACTTTGGAAGCAGCCTTGTTTTGTCGCCATTAACGAGCTCAGACAAGCAAACCGCGCATTCTAGACCGTCTTTGAAGCTTTCTTGTCTGAAATCAACAATGGGTAGTAAACTGAGTTCAGATGGGCCGAGACCGGTGTTTCGCAGGGTGTCTTGGCCCGGGACGAAGATGAAACGGCGGCGTTGTCGACGCAGATGAAACGGCGGCGTTGGCGACGCGTGACCAATGGCGGAGCCGGTGACTGCTGCTGTTGCTGTTGCTGCTGCTGCTGCTGCTGCTGCTGTTGTTGTTGGTCCACGCGCCACCAGTAAAGCTTGGCGTAGAGGTGGAGAAGAAGGACGAATAGAACCGCCATGAACAGGACAATGATAGCTGTAAGAACGATCTTGCTCGTGACCTCTTCGGTCGTTAAGTTACCAAACGGTGACCTGTGAGCAGATCCATCGTCGTCCATTGATGGCAATGGTTGTTCTCTCTCCTTATTCCTTAAATCGCACAAGATCAGAAGTCTCCGCCTTCTGTTGTGCTTATTTCGAGAAAATGAGAGGTGCCCAGATGAATTAATCCACCAATTCTGCAAATTAAGCAGGAATTTCTGAACAAGTAACCAGGAATCGAGCGAAAATAGATGCAAAGCACGGGGCTTCGACGCGGATCTTGTGAAATTAGGGTTTTGGGAGGAAGCAGGAGCAAAAGGGCCGAGGTGAAAGATAAAATCTTCTTATGGTGGGTACCCAGTTGAGAAAAGCTATAAGAAATGAAAAACTCAGATGAAGCTTTCAATGGGAAATCGATGGAAGAGCTGGAATTTGCGGAGACAGAGATCAAAGACGATGCTTTTCAATGTTCAGCTACAGGTTCCATAAACATTAGGGTTTTGGGGGAAGAGAGGAGAGATGTCGAAGGAAAGGAGGAGATAACTCTAGACGTCTTCTCTCTCTCTCTCGGCCGTGGCAGAGAGGGCTAGGAAGGAAGAGTGATAAGAGGCAAATGAGGGCGATGACATCGGCAACAATGGTCCCACATCGGCCATTGATATTGGGGTGGCGGAGCTACTTCATCCTACTCACTCTACTCGCATTATTCCTCTAATTGCACAATTTCATTTAATCATCTCGTCGTAATCATGCCTTTTTATTCCTATCAGAAAATTCTGAGATATCATATGGGTTCATAATCTGAAATCTGCATATGAAAAAGACTTTATATTTATTGTCCATGTGCCGAATTCAAAGGTTCAAAAGTGATTTTGGTACCACCTCCATTGGATATTATTTTTCTCAAAAATATCAAACTGAAAATTTATCCATCCTAACTTAATGCAGTCCATTACCCGCCTGTTTTTTTTTCTAACGGCGGCGGGGGCCG